GATGTTTATATTGATCCAACAATTTGGGCTTGATGGCCTCGGCATCAACCAGCTTTCAGTGCGTCGACAAAAGCTTTAGAAGGGGGGATGAGGGATGAGTCCCGGACTGAAAACACCACCCATGGGAATGGTGCGAGGCCGAGTTGTGGGGCTGTTGCTCAAAAGGTCAGGAGAAGTGTAAGGAAACGGGCCAGAGAGGGCGGGAAGGGGTGAGAAAGAGAAAGCCCCTGACAGCTATTGTGAGGAATGCGATAAACACTGACTTTGAAGTAAATTCTTAACTTAACTGAATTGAGTTTTGTAAAAAGATTCAAACAATCACTGCAAAGATGAAGAAGAAGAAGAAGGGCTGCTTTAAGCTAGCAAACACAAAGCTGTTTCCACTTTTCCAGCCAGATCAATGCAGGAAAGCTTGAAAAGGAGAAGGAATGTTTTTCGTTGTTTTTCAGATTAAAGCTAACCTGGTGAATAAGTCTTTGTGGTAATAACAGTAAGGATTTGGAATGATACTGTGCACACTTTAAAAGCAAATTTCTATTAATCGTAACAGCTTTGAGGTTTTCTTTACAAAAACTGTGTTGATTGATCAGAAAAGTTTTTAGAAAACAGAATATTTTTGACAAAGTCATTCTTATTGACAGTTAAATATATTTGCTTTTGGTCCATTGTAATATTTTCCTTTTTCAACTGGTTCTATTTTTAAGTTTTGTTTGGGGGTCTAAGAGCTCAAATGTCTAAAACTTCTCTAATTAGATTTGAGAGCTCAGTATAAAGCACGAAGTACAACTTTTAAGTGAGAATAGGTCAAAATGTACATCGTATTTACAGTAACTCAGATGTTTTGCATTAAGTTTATTGCAAAAGCTGCTATTTGTACGCATTAACACGTATTTCACATCTGAAACTAAACTGTATAGCTTATTTCTCCTCTGTATAGCTTATTGTCACAGTGATGATAAATGTAATATTGTGTCTACTCTGTAAGTCGCTTTGGATAAAAGCGTCTGACAAATGCACAAACATAAACATAAACATAAACATAAACATATCCAGTTGCCATGGCGCTGAAAAAGGCCGCCACGGTGTTTTGGTGCGCAATATTTTGTTTTGTTTTGTCTTTTTACCCTGTTTTTTGCAACAACTTTATGCTACGTTCAACATTTTCTGGTCTGTCGTTGGACATTCAATATTTTATTTTATTATTATTATTATTATTA